CCCACAGAGCGGAATGACGAAGACGTTGATCCGGCCGCTGCTTCCTTCGGCCATGACCGCCGGCGAGCTGGAGAGGCAGACGATCGTAGTGCGCCGGAGCCGGAAGAAGGGGCCGGTTGTTCAGACGAAGCAGGCAGTCGATCAGAATAAGTTCCGCCCGCGGTTCGCTTTCTTCACCGGCCCTCACGGCCGGAGCGTGAATCATAGAAAGTTCGAAACCGTTGTTCTAATCGCAAGCGGCTTTGGGTACTGGTCCTTGGATGGATACTTGGAAGACATGCTGCGGACCGAGCGCGCAGCCACGAGGACACGAAAGATCGTACTGGTCTATAGAGGCAAGCCGCGTAGGTCCCCTCTCAAAGGTCTGCAGCGCACTCAGCTCACTCTGTGAAAAGCATTGATGATAGAAGACGCGATGAACAAGAGGCTGCGGGATGATGCGCACAGTTCTGACGATAGCCTGGTATGGAGACCCACCACCTCTCGACATTGGGCCTAACTCTAAGCATAGAAACTGCGCTTGCGAGTGATCTTCTACCCGGCGAACCGCATGAAAAACGCAATGCAGGACGGCGACAAGTTTAGCGATATGACTGAGCTGGCCAAGATGAACAAATTTCGGCCCGCGGAGAACATGGAGAAATACAAGGTCACGAACGACACGGGCAAGGTGACCGGGCTTGAGGTCGGGAACAAAGGCCGTCTTACTTTCTGGCCAGGACCACTTCCTCTCAAAGACGTGGTGGAAAACCCCTCCGTGTTCGAAAACGGCGTGAAGTTCACGACAGGTCAAAGCTCGTTTGACGATGAGTCTACAGACGGCACCAATACTTTGATTCTAGCATCCGCCGAGAATCAACTTGTTGATGAGCTAAAGCAGGTTGTGGTCACGTCAAAGAAGAGAATGCATCTACATGTGCTGGATTTTATCCCTCCACAGTCTCTGGAACACGGTGATGACGAGTTCGAGGTTCGTCGGGTACAGTCGCCAGTTGACACGTCGGGCCCAGGAGGTTTACCGACCACGAGGCGGAGATGATAGCCGGCTCGAGTACAGCGCCAGTGGTCCGCTCTGGCTTTCGTTCAACGATCCGCAGCAGACGAGAAGGACACAAGCATGCAATAGATCAATCCAGAGAATACATTCACATACTAATAATATCCCTCTACGCAAGACTCTTGTGCAGTATCACGGGCACTTCAAGCCGACTGCATCGCCATAGAATCAGTAATTTCCTGTTCTGCTACCACCCGTACGTGGTGAGAAGTTGCTCAACCTGCTTGCTCCACACCAGTGGTCTTTTCCAGATGCATGTAGACTCTGGCTTACCCGTGATGCCAGCCTATGTCCACCGGTAGCTACAAGATGCCAATAACAGCAAGTGCTTTCATGTGCCCTGCCGCTGCCTAAGCCAATAGTCGCTCACGAGTTTGTGGCTGTACAAGTCCTCGTCTGATATCCAGCCAGGGCAGAGGTACCCTTCCCACAAAACTGCGTAGTGTACATCTCCGTAGGCGTCCTCGTGGTGCCCGATCACGTTTCTGATCATCTTGTGGGCCGGGTCGCCAAGGCGCGGTCTCTGCCTGATGTCGTACCAGAGCTCAAGCGAAAAGCCTGTGTCCAGAACCCAGAGTAGCGCTGGCGGGGGTGATGACCAGTCTTTCTCGTCTACCATCTCAGCCAGTACACCCCTGAATACGTAGGAAGATATTTCAACTGTCAGAAGCGCCTCGAGAAGGTACAGATTGGAGGACCACGGGCAGCTGATGGGTCGCCGTAGAGGCAGATCCCGATGGACAGTCATGAGATTTGGCAGAAGACCGCCACCGCTTGCAAGCTGCCAGGAAGATGGATTATGCCGATACATACAGCAGTGGGCTTCTATGTGCCTTTATAGCATTACGCCACGAAAAAGAGGCGTTGCGCGGCCAATTTTCACCGTCGTGAGAACCTCATAAGAAGACCTTCCCAGACAGAAAGCGTTCCGGCTCAAACCGAACTAGCTACATTATGGCCCATTTCAATCCATCTGATCATGCTGCGCAGGTGTCTCAAAACACAGTGACGTCTGTCTGGGACGGAAGCACTACTCTGTCCGCCTGTGCT